CATGTAAACCACGCCAACGTAAATCAACTAAATCGATAAGGCTACCAATATTAAGCCTAAACATAACAAAAGTCTTCTCAAAAAATTCTCTAGTAACTCCTCAAACGTTACCTACCTCGTTGGCAGCATAAACGATACTTGGGCAGCGAAAAAGACAAAAACTAGATGCAGTGAAACGAGCGTTTCACTTCCAGTGAAAGCGAAAAATGGCGTCTGCCCCAATCCTCGTACAGAGCGCGCACAACACCAAAAACTGCCGTGAGATAAATAAACGAGTGGGAGCACTAAAAGAATCAGGAACAAGTCTAAACAACAAAACTACAGTACCTACTAGTATAACCTGTAGTAAAATTCTGAAGAAGACGTCTTTCACGTGTACATAGCACGCCGACAAGTGAACAAGGCTAAACAAAGCGCAGGAACGCAGCAAAGTTTCAGTTGCTCGGGCAACGGCAGCCACACTCCCACCCAAATCATCCAAGATGATTTCTAAAAAGAGGAGGTATTCGGAATAAACAAATATCGCCTTATCAATGTAAAACATGTGAACGATCATGGTCAACTACTGTGTCTACTCAGTAGAAGAAGTAACATCATTTCAATCCTTCATGACAGGAAATGAGAAGAATCAGCTTATGAATTGGACGGTCTAAAAATGTTCTATTGTAAATTGGCTTACCTGTTTTATCTAAGTTCGGAGTGGCCATTAGTAGCTTTACCTTTCTCACAAGACCATCACTAGAGGGATAGGTCTCTACCACTTTAGCTAATCTCCAATCAGAGCGAAAGATGTTCTCGTCCTTTAGCATAACTATATCACCAACCCTGGTATTTTCTTTGGTACCTTGCCAGGTTTTCCTTGACTGAAGATTGTACAAATATTCTTTTTCCCACCTTGTCCAGAACAGATTAGCCAGATATTGGACTCTGCGCCACCTCTTTCTCGCATATATACCTTCCCTCACAAAATCTCCAGGAGGTGGAGGGGTGACAATTCCAGACTTCATTGTGAGAATATTGTTTGGCGATAGAGGAAGGAGTCCATTAGGGTCTTCCAAATCATCCACCGTCAGTGGTCTGCTGTTGATTATGGCCATTGTCTCATACAGGAATGTACGCAAAGCTGATGTGTTCAGCTGGGCTCCATTCTGGATCAGGATTCCATCTAAGACACTTCTGATAGTCCGGATCTGCCTCTCCCATACTCCGCCCATGTGGCTTGATGAAGGAGTGTTAAATATAAACTCACAATTTTGGGGGAGAAGTTTTCTTGCGATACTATCAATGTTTAACTTGTTAAGATTCTCCTTCAGTTCATGACTCGCACCAACAAAGTTGGTTCCTTGGTCACAGCGAATCATGAGGACCTTTCCTCGAATGGCATTAAGGCATCTCAATGCATTGATGAACGAATCCGTAGACATATCATCTAAGACCTTAATATGAACAGCTCTTGATGCGAGACACGTGAAGATTAACCCATACCTCTTCAGCTCCTTTTGTCCTTCTTTGATCATAAACAGTCCAAAACAGTCCAGTCCACAGTGGGTAAATGGTGGAGAGGGTTCTGTCCTGTCTTCTGGGAGGTTTGCCATTTTTTGTGTCACTCTTATTCCTCTCAGTTTTTTGCACGTAACACAGTTTTGGATCAGGGACGACACTGTCGAACGACACCCAACAATCCAGTATCCATGATTCCGAATCTCGTTGATAGTCATGCCTCGACCTTGATGACCTATGCGGTCATGATAATGATTTGCAACCAATGTTGAGAAATGGTTTCTCTTTGGCAACAAAATTGGATGCTTCACTCCATATAAGAAGGCTGACCTTTTCAATCTGCCTCCCACCCGTAGTAAACCATTCTCATCGAGAAAGGGGTCCAGGTTCTTTAGAGGATCTACTCTACGACTAGAAGTGTATCTCTTCTGGAGATTCAGTATACTGTCTTTGAATGCTTCTTGCTGTATAACTCTGATAAGGTTTGTCTCTGCTAAGTTTCTAACCTGTATTTTGGAGAATAGCTTTCCCCGTTTCTTAAGTGAACATTCAACAATGACTGCCACTGCTGTCACTGCCTTTGAATAGCTAGAAAATCTGCTCATCCTCTCTGTGAAGCTAGTGAACTTCATTCTCTGTACAATATGTACAACTGTTGGTTTGACCTCTACATCATCTGGTGGGATTTCCAAGTCAATGTCTGCAGTCTGAGGTGAAGCCTCCGTTTCCCACAAAAACTTAGGGCCTGTAAGCCAGTTGGATTTGGCGATTTCATCAGCTGTTAGACCACGTGTGGCATGATCTGCAGGGTTATCAGTGGTTGGAACATATTTCCACTGTGCTGGCTGGGAAACTTCTCTAATTCGTTGAACCCTGTTCGCGACGAACATCTTGAGTCTCTTTGTATCATTCTTTATATATCCCAAGACTACCTTGGAATTCGTCCAAAAATTATGTGACATGTCTTTATAGCCCATTTCTGTCTCGAGAACCTTAGAAACCTTTGCTGAAATTGTTGCAGCTTGTAGTTCCAGTCTAGGTATAGTTACAGGCTTCAATGGGGCAACTCTGGCCTTTGCCATGACTAAGGCACAGTGTACCCTTTCATCTGTATTCTTCATACGCACATATGAACATTGTCCATAACCAGAAAGTGACGCGTCAGAGAAGTGGTGAAGTTGTACTGAGACTGCTTGACCCAAACCATCTGGAATGAAGCATCGCGGAATTTTGATCTCACTCAGTTTCAACAGCTCGGCTTTCCAGCGTTCCCAATCTAGACGAAGATCATCTGGCAATGGGTCATCCCAATCTGTTCTGTCCTGGCACATTCTTTGGAGTATCATCTTCCCAACTAAGACTAAGGGCGAAATAAGACCTAAGGGATCGTAAATTGAGGCAACTGTTGCTAGAATCCCACGACGAGTCAAGGGGTGATCTTTTAATGTCAACTTAAAACAAAAGGTATCTGATTCGATGCACCACTGTATACCTAAAACCTTCTCTGGCGAAAAACGCTTCTGACTGGATTCAAGGTCAGTCTGTGTTATAGTCGCTCTTTCGGACTCTGGAAGACTTAACATTACCTCAGAATTATTACAACTAATTTTGTGTAGCCGCAAGTTACCCTTTTCACAGATCTCAACAGCATTGTGAATGAGATCCTTCATAGCTTCTACACTTCAACCCATCATCAACATAGAAGTTGTTTTTCAAGAATTCTGAAGCGTTCTCTCCAAGGTGCTTGTAGTCCTTGGCAAGTTGTTTTAAGCCGAAGTTTTCACATGCTGGCGATGAAACAGCTCCAAACAAATGGACTTTCATCCTAAAATCAACTGGGGGTTGTCTGAAGTCTTCGTCTTCCCACCACAAAAACCTGAGAAAGTCTTGGTGTTCGGGCTTCACACGAAACTGATGGAACATTTTCTCGACATTACACTTCAAGGCAATTGGGTGTTCACGGAACCTGCAGAGTACTCCAATTAAGGGGTTGATCAAGTCTGGACCTGACAAAAGGTGGTCATTCAAGCTTGAACCCTGGTAACAAGCGCTACAATCAAGACAACTCTTACTTTATTCGGTTTCTGGGATGGTATACTCCATGATGAGTATATACCATTGTGTTGATGTCA